TCTCCAATGCTCTCGCCTCCTGGCGCGCTCCTATGGCCAGCGCTGATTTGGTCAGCTGGTCCATAGACTCCGCCCTGGGCGCCCGGGAAAGTTCGTCTTTCACAGCCGAAGAAAGCCCTTCTTCAAAGAGCATTTGAATGGGTTCCGCCGATAAGTCCCACCCCAATCTGTGAACAAGCATGGTGAACTCAGTCCAGTACTCACGGACAGATCGGCTCCCCTGTTTGCAAGCCATTAACTGTCTGCGCACCACCCCTTTTCAATATCGCTGGAAAACATCAGATCCATGGCGCGAAAGAACTTCATCGTGTCCTTTAGGACGTCACTATTCGCTGCCATCAAGGGTCTAACCCAGTCTCTCGCCCCCTTTTCAAGATGCTCAATCACGAAAGCCACTCGTGATTCCTCGTCAGGGAATTCATCAAACTGCAGATTGAGGGCATATTGCATTTCTGTCCGAAAGCCATGATAGTTTTTGGGCTCCCCCCCCAAACTTCTGCACCAATCCTGGTACCTTTCTGGCGAGCTGGGTGGCTTTCCCCTTTTTGTCTGCATCCTGAGCCCTCCTCTCCTCAAGCCTCGCCGTCTGCATCGCTAGCTGGACCTCCAACACCCAGTACCTTTCTTCCAGGCTTGGACCCGCTCCAGCTCCTGCTTCTCCGGTTCCGGCTGGGTTGCTCATGATGCCTTCTCCTGCACAAGCTGCTTTCAAAGACTGTCGGAATGCTGTGATGGGATGATGAGCTGCTTGTGCGTAAAATCGTATCCCCTCAGAGTTTGTTCAAGTCCACAAACCTCTGTCTGTGACGGAGCCCCTCAGACATGGCTCCTCTAGTCACTAGCAGATTCCGACAGTGGTTGCTTTCGTAATCGCTTCCAACATAAAAGCTCCTTAACGGAAACACGTCTTCTGGAATCTCTGCGTGACAGTTTCCGGCGAGGAGTGGGTGTTCTTACAGGAGGTCCTGAAACCTCCCCACTGTTTTCGCTGGAAGTGTCTCTGAGCCATCCCTCCAGCTCAGCTCCTCTCCCCCTGCTGGTTCCCTCTTCAGCTGCTGCGTCTCTCCCAACCTGTGTGAGCCCTTTCACCTCCCTGCTGGTTCCCTCTTCAGCTGCTGCGTCTCTCCCAACCTGTGTGAGCCCTTTCACCTCCCTTCCGTCCGATGGCAGTTCCCTGACAGCAGGTCACATCGTTTTGCCAACCAGCGAGCCGAATGACATCGCTTTTGGTGGAAGATGAACTGCAGCGGAAGAGAAACAGCACTGCAAACACAGTGTTACATGGGGTGGAATGCATGGGATGAAGGTGGAATGGAAAACAATGTTCTAGTACAGCCACGTGTGCATGAACAGACACACACTCTCTTAAATTCAGTTCTCCACATTTCAGCAGCAACTTGTGAAACTTCATCAGCATTTCAGTGCAATTCCCCAAAAAAAAACCACAGGACAAGCTTCAGTTAACGAGTCGTATCAGCAGAGCCCTGTAGAAGGACTTCCATGTGGGCAACAGGACTCTCTATCCCCCTGTGCAGCCCCTGAAATAGGCTTAAGGGATGTCAGGAGAAGCTCCAGAACAGCACACAGGGCAGATGAGGACAAGGGAGATTGTTCCATCTGACAAGCCTGAATAGTTGCTCCAATGGAACGACTGCCTTGGCACAAAGTTGAATCCCTCCCACACATTTCCATATGCAATTTTGAGTAATATACACATTTTTGCAAGCAACTTCCCCCTAGTACACATAAAATTGATACATTAGTTTCCACTAACGTATGCATCTTTCTGTACACTTTCTCCTGATACAGTGGTACCTCTGGATGCGAACAGGATCCGTTCCGGAGCCCCGTTCGCATCCTGAAGCGAACGCAACCCACGTCTGCATGTCTGCCTCCACGCATGCGCTTGACGTCATTTTGAGCGTCTGTGCATGCACGAGCAGTGAAATCCGTTACTTCCGGGTCGCCACAGAGCGCAACCCAAAAACGCTCAACCTGAAGCATATTCCACCCGAGGTATGACTGTATGTGCATTTGCATACGCATTGGTTGGCTGGCATACTGCATTGCGAAATTTAGCGAATTTCTAAGGAGAGTTGTGTTTTGGTTGGTGCATTGGCTTGAAATTAGAATACATGGGTTTCTAATTAAAATGCAAACAAAACCAAATCCCCTTCCACATCCCTAATACATACACACTTAATATATACTACACACTTGTGTAATGTGTGTGTGTGCATACTACAATCCTATAAAGGCCAGGACTAGCCGCCTGAAAAACAGTTTCTACGCTAATGCAATTCTGGTTCTAAACGCAGCATAAGGGGTTTCTGTACTATAGTGTGTTTTAAAATGGGGTTTTAGAGTTTTTAGGGGGTTTTGAATGTTTTATGTAGTTTTTATGTAGTTTTATGTAGTTTTGTGGTAGTTTTATGTAGTTTTATGTAGTTTTCAATTTCATTGTTCCGCAAGGGACAATGACAATAAAGATATCGTATCGTATCGTATATTGCTGGTGGACTTCAATTCCCATCATCCCTGGCCATTGGCTGTGCTGGCTGGGGTTCATTGGAGCTGAGTTCCAACCACATCTGGAGGGCCACATGTTCCCCATCCCTGCTATATTGGTTCCAGGCCAGTTTGTTATGTTTCCCCAATGGAAAACCCAAAGGAACCTGGTAACAGTAGTTTGGAGATACCTCCGCAGGCAGTGAACAGGGCAAGTGGGCATTTGATGAATGCTGCTGTGGTAAGGAAACCCCCCTTTCCGTGCAACGCCCCATGCAGAGGTGTATCTAGAAACAGTGTTAATCCAGCTCTTCCATTCTTCATGAGATGCAGCGTTGGACAAAGTGAAAGCTTAAGTTGTAATAAATTACCTGCAGGAAATTGGTAAGGCTTCCAGACTGAGCAACGGTGAGGACGAGTAGTAAAGAGTGGAAGTCAAATATAGCAAAGGAATAGGCTGGAAATTATACTGGGGTGAAGACGCTAGCCAATGGACATAAAAGCGGTCCATATATTTTATATTATTTTACTTTCAATCATTTTTACTGCTCATGTTTGGCATCAAAGTTCCATTTGTACATTTGGTAAAAACACTTTTTAAAAAAACCAACGTGGAGAAAGATTTTGCAAAGTGACAGAAGGGCAGCTTATTTTTTTTTTTAATGTAAAATAAAATGTTTGTCTTATCAGAATTCCCCTCCTCTAAAAGGCAGTTTGTGCTAGGCAAGCTGGATTTTTCTGAGCCCTCCCTTGCCTCCCTTGCTTAAATCCTAAACTCTCTGATCTTCTAAAGGCTTAATTTTAAAAAACAACAACAACAACCTTCAGACATATGCAAGGCTAACATTTCTTTGAAACCAAGCAATTAAAGATATGCTGAGATTAGTCGTTTCCTAGTGGGGAAATGCAGTAGTGCATTAGAGGAAAGATAAGATTGTGAGGCGGTGGAACCATAGTCCTTGGGAAAACAGAAGCCGTAATCGCAGAGGGGAGGCAAAGCTGCTTGTTGGCTGAAGCTTAGTAGCTAAAGGTAGCCTTTATCTTTCTTCCACCTTCTCCAGTAATCTGTCCAACTAAGAAGAGATGTCCCTTGAGCTCCGTATTGGCTGCACACAAAGCCCATGGGCCTCAATGTGTAGGGGTGGGGGAATCTATAAATGGCATACCTTCCAAGTGTCCCGATTTTCAAGGGACAGTCCCGGAATTACGAAAGCCACCCCAGGTTCTGATTTGATCCCAGAAAGTACTTATTTCCTCTGCCAGTGCCCCCACTGTTGAGCTGGGGAAGGAGGACGACAGTGGTGGCTGCAAAGGTGCATCCTGTTGTGACTCCCTGGCCGCCACTGCCAGCCTCCTCCTTTGGGCAGCTTGTAATGGCTGATGGAGAGCAGGCAAGGAGGAAGAGAGGCCACCACCGCCCAAGGCCCTGCCCCACGTGATGAGGGGCAGGCAGAAGGCAGGACCACCCTGGGCAGGAAGGAAGGAGGAGCAGAGTGGAGTGCAAGGAGTCTTGATATATTTATTTATAATGTTTGTGTGTCTACGTCAAATCTTGCCCTGTTCTAAAATGTATTTATTGGTATGTGTTTTTCTTTTTGTAAATCTACCGAAGAATAAAATAAAAGGAGGATTTTGGGGTTTTTTCAGGACAGTGTGCTATGTAGTTTTGGTGGCAATCACCCCTTTTCTGACTGGAAATGCTCTGCAGCGCCGGGACGATGACAAAAAAATGGGGTTTGAGGAGGGTCAGTTGTGAGGAGTGAGAAATGTCCATGTTTTCACCTGAGGAATGGTGGAGAGTATGGAATGGCAGTAACATGCACCATCTTTTGTATGGGCCTTCCTATTTCCTCTGCGAACAGAGCTGTCAGTAAAAGCATTTAGCATCTAATAGTATCTTGGATGTGGCTGGATTTCAACGTGTTGGGGAGAATCTGGGTTGGAAGAGGAAACAGGCCACAGGTTTGTAGGAGCTGGAGGAGCTGGGAGGAGAAAGAAGGTGCTGCTACTGATCCCTTGCGCTGCAGTCTCTGGGCCCCTTCAGACTGATGTGATGTTGCCGGCGCATTCTGCCGTGCGCTTGTGACAAAATAATAACAGTGCATTAGCAGTGGATTTATTCTGCTTTCATGGGGTGCATTCAGACGTAGAGAACATTGCATTAGTTTTCCTGATTATGAGGCTACTGCTTCTCTGCAGTTTTCTAATGTTCCTTTCACACTGCAGTACCTGTTGAATTACCAAACTCTGAGTTTTTGACTGAAATACAAGCAGGTCGTGCTAAATTTTGTTCACACAAAGTGGGCATGGAGTGGCACGACAACGAATGTCCTACACACACACACACACACACACACACATTTTACTAGTTTTCAGATGAAACAAAGCTAAGGAAAGGCCTGATTTATATTTACATTTTATATTTTGTTTGTTGTTTGGTACCCAAAGCCTACATGGTGGCGCACAGATGCTGCCAACAAATACAGTGGTACCTTGGTTTAAGAACAGCTTAGTTTGTGAACAACTTGGTTTAAGAACACTGCAAACCCTGAAGTAGGTGTTTTGGTTTGTGAACTTTGCCTTGGAATAAGAACATGTTTCGCTTCCTGTTGAGTGTGTTGCATTTGTAAATTGAGTCCCCCACTGCTATGGGAAAGCACATCTTGGTTTAAGAATGCTGTGGTTTAAGAACCGACTTCTGGAATGGATTAAGTTCGTAAACTAAGGTACCACTGTAAATGAATAAAAAGGAAGGCAGTCTTACCCAGCCTGGTGGCCTCCAGATGTTTTGGACTACAACTCCCAACAACCCCAGACCAATAGGGCCAATGGCAAGGGATGATGGGACATGTAGTCAAAAAAATCGGGTGAACTCCAGGTTGGGGGGAGCTGGGCTAAGGGCTAGAATAACCCCACACTGCCCAGAAGGAAGCTTTTTTGTTTTCTTTTGCTTGCTAAGAGAGAAAATGCACTTCTCGGCTGGGTTTAGGGAAGGACGGACCTGTCAACTTCACTTCTTATTTTACACATTTCTGCAAGCAGTTTTCCCTCATATAATGCATATCTGCATGCTGATTTCACCATTTATATGCACACTTTATGCTAGTATACACATTTCTGCACACATTGCTTGGCTGGAGAACTGCACTGGAAAATTTGGAGAAGTGCAAATTTGAAAGAACGACTGTACCTTGGTTCTTGTACTGTTTTGGAAAGTGTGGATTACATCAAGTTCACCTTTAAACAAGAACTGAATCGAATTCTTCTCCCATGCCTAGTTAGGCCAAAGCAGCACTTATGTACTATCTGGTTCAGCTGAGCATATTACACTGATCCAGTCTCATCGGCACTTGCTACCAATGAGTTTCCAGTCCCAGGTTTGGGCTCTGACCTATAAAGCCTTAAACAGCTCAGGACCGCAAAACCTCAAGGACTGCCTCTCTACATATGAGCCCACTTGGACCCTGAGACCATCATCTGAAGCCCTTCGTTGTGTGCCTCCTCCATGAGAGGTCCAGAGAGTGGCAACACGGGAACGGGTCCTTTCTGCAGTGGCTTCCTGTTTGTGGAATGCTCTCCCCAGGGAGGATTGGCTGGTGCCTTCACTATGCATCTTTAGACGCTGGACAAAAATGTTTCTCTTTAACCAGGCCTTGGGCTGATTGACATCTGATCCCCTTTTAAAATGTGTTGTGGAATTGGGGGATTATTGGGTTGTCTTTGTTTATGTTTTTATTATGCATTCTGTGTATGTGTGTGTGTGTACTGGTCATGCTGTGCGGATGCCTGATGATCGTCTTCCAAAGCAACTACTCTATTCCGAACTTAAAAATGGAAAGCATAATGCTGGTGGTCAACAAAAGAGGTTTAAAGATTGTCTCAAGGCAAATCTAAAAAAATGTAGTACAGTGGTACCTCAGGTTACATATGCTTCAGGTTACAGACTCCGCTAACCCAGAAATAGTACCTCGGGTTAAGAACTTTGCTTCAGGATGAGAACAGAAATCGTGCTCTGGCAGCGTGGCAGCAGCTGGAGGCCGCATTAGCTAACGTGGTGCTTCAGGTTAAGAACAGTTTCAGGTTAAGAACAGACCTCCGGAACGAATTAAGTACTTAACCTGAGGTACCACTGTATAAACACTGACAACTGGGAAACACTGGCCTGTGTGCGCTCCAGTTGGAGAACAGCCTTTTCCAAAGGTGTCATGGGCTTTGAAGACACTCGAACTCAGGAAGCAAGGGAGAAATGTGCTAAGAGGAAGGCACGCTTGGCAAATCCACACCGTGATCAGCTCCCGCCCGGAAACCAATGTCCCCACTGTGGAAGGACGTGTGGATCCAGAATTGGCCTCCACAGTCACTTATGGACTCATTGTTAAAACCGTGTTTATGGAAGACAATCTTACTCGGCTACAAGTGATCGCCAAAGAAGAAGAAGAAAGATAGTAATTTTATGTTGTGAACTGTCCTGAGATCTAAGAGGACGGTGGACAAATTTAATTAAGAGAGAGAGAGAGAGAGAGAGAGAGTTGTGTTTCTGCACGTGCTGTCGGGGTGTGTATGGATTTGCAGTGGGTGTTATGCATGTTCGGAGACCACCTTTGCTACAAACACCAATTGCATACAGCTGCAATTAAAACATTTCAAGTGTGTTTTAAGCACAATATGCAATGTGATGCTAGATGGTGATGGGGAGCCTTATGGAAAATTCAATCTATTTTTAAATATGCTTTTTAAAAAAACATTTTCAGAACTTTTTTTATATGTGTGTGGATTCCACCCCAGTCTACAGAACAAGACGAATAAAAAGAAAAAAACAACCCCAAAAAGGAAAGAAAGAAGATAACTATAAGGCCCTTTATCATATTTATATTATGTATATCCTATCATTTATCCACACAGAGAGAAGTAGACCCTCCCAGCGGCCACCTGAGAGCCTGCTTCTTCTCCAAGTCTCTCACAATGGGAGACTCTTTCTACCCATTCAACCTTGAATGCCCCTCTTGGGCTGAAAAGGATTAGCCAACCCTGCTTTATGATTTCAGATTATGCGATTCTGTCATCAAAATGCTAATTTGCGTGAGCAATTTTTATTTGCCTCTTTCACCATCGTGAGCATTTATGTCCTCCTTTACTGATGTACCAAAAGGTTCTGAATTGTCTGAGTGCAGGAAGGAGACAAATAATAATATGCCCCCATGACTGGCAGCGGTGAAAAATAAGTTGTCTCCCTCCACAATCATATATCTTAGGACTTAGAAGTTGGACACAAAATAGCAGACAGGCTGGTGATTAATCTACATATGCAAATGAAAAGGGAAAAATGGGTAGCTGCTGTATTATTTTTTTGTGCTAATTACTGCAATTTCAAACCTTTGATGAATAGGCTCCCTAATGGACAGTTCTCCTAGGAGAGATGTTGCTAAGAGATTCACGACTTTCCTAACCCTGTGAAAGAGTTGCCAAGCCCTGGGATGGGGAGGGAGGAGAGGAGAGAGAGGAGCAGAACAGAGACAGAGATGCTCAGCAAGAGGGAGGATGTTTACGTTGTGTACCCCAGCACCTACCATACGCCGGATAACAGACTTTCATACAGCAAACGGTACTCAGGGCTGTCAGGCTGGTAAGACTGCACAGGCCAAAGAGAACTCCACAAAAGGCATAGAAAGTGCACATAGCATGGTTGAACAGCCACCTGGAAGGGAGAGATAACTAGGGGAAATAAATGATTTTCCCACAAGGCCTTGTGTCCCAGGCAACCCAGTCACAGAAAGAGATGCTTGAGCATCACTGGTCCAAGCAGGACTTTGCACAGCGGCCAATAACAATGATAAAAAAGCATCCTAATCACAGAACCGTGTGTGCTCCATGAGATACCCATCCAGCCATCCTGCAACAGGAAAAGTTGAATTCCGCAACCTGTGTAAAATCAATATTCAACATATTGAATATTCAACACTTGTTCTTTTCTTGTAATTTCGAAAACATAGAATCAATGATTGCAACTTTGCAAATTTGCACACAAATTATGCAAACGGAACAGCTTTTGCATGATTTAGGCTTCAGTTAGAACCCCGGTTATCTGAGAGTAAGTCACCTCAAATTCAGTAGGACCTACTTCTGAGTAGACTTGGTTAGGATTGCTGATCCTGCCAGCAATTTGTTTCTGCTGGGCAGGGAGAGCTATGGTGCCAAGGCAACAGAACGCCACCCCCAGTCCTCTGACACGAGCCATGTATCGTCCATGCAGTTTTACCCACAAGGATTAGAAATTTGGTTTTACTTCAAAATGAAAGCCAAGATGGCCAGGATGCAGCTTTGCTGAACTTTGACTGGATTTTGCACAGCACTTCCTAAGCACAACAAGCAAAAACCAAACACCTCTTGTCATTAGAAAGTTCCAAAATGCAGAAAATTTCTAGGTGTGGTGGTGTTCAAGCAGTGGTGGGGTCAGAGCTGAACTGTCTTAAACATGGCAGATGGTTCAGATGACCCATTTAGATTCAAGAAACGTATGGTTGGATCCAGTTGTTAGCAGAGTGGTCTTACGAACCATTCCAAAGGGTGGAAAGTGGGTCAAACTATACCACGAAAACTCCAGAAGGGTCCAGTTTGGACTTTGCTCAGTGTGGTGTAGTGGTTAAGAGCGGTAGACTCGTAATCTGGGGAACCGGGTTCGCGTCTCCGCTCCTCCACATGCAGCTGCTGGGTGACCTTGGGCTAGTCACACTTCTCTGAAGTCTCTCAGCCTCACTCACCTCACAGAGTGTTTGTTGTGGGGGAGGAAGGGAAAGGAGATTGTTAGCCGCTTTGAGACTCCTGAAGGGGAGTGAAAGGCGGGATATCAAATCCAAACTCTTCTTCTTCTTCTACAGCATTGCCCTACTTCAAAATCCAGCCTTCCCAAAGTTGCTTATCAACTGCAGAGGGGGAAATACGCAGGCTTAAGAACAGAAATCCATATCTTTTTCATTTTGTGGTTGATAGTACTTTTGGGGTAGGAAATGCAAATTGGGGGGGGGGGGAGATAGCTAACCCCCTTTTATGCCCTACAGCATCTACCCAAACTGCCTCCCACCTGCTTTTCAAAAATGAAAAAGATGCCGGGAGCGTCAAACGTGGAGCTCTTGCGCCAAATGTAGTTTGGCCCTGATGCAACATCATCGCTCAAGCTAAGCCAAAGAAGAACCTGATCGTTGCTTGGAGAGGAAGGGCTGTAGCTCCGTGGTACAGACTCTGCTTCACACGCAGAAAGTCACAGGTTCAATCCGTGACGTCACATATTAGGAGCAACTGCTGTCAATTGGTATGGACAAGACTGAGCCAGACTCAGTACCAGGCCTAGCTTATGGCATTCCTGTGTTCTTAGGAAGCCATCAGCCGCTCTGAGCTTTCAAAACGGAAGAGTGGAACCCAACAACATGACCAAATGAGCAAAGCCAGCTACCTGTGTGCAAAGAAGGATGGCGTGGCCAGAGGGAAGAGGGTTGCGGTCATGCCCACATCGCTGATGGCAAGGTTCACGATGAAGAATTCGGCAGGTTTCAGGACGGCTCTCTTCCGATAAGCTACCAGCAGCAGGAGAGAGTTTCCAAAGAGAGAGACTACACCTGTGGGGAAAAGGAAAGAGTGAGCCGTACTAAATTCCACGTCCAGTCAGTGAATGGCTGGAGAAAGAATGGGACAAAGGTGTGTCATAGCTACATCCACTCACAAATACCTAGCTGAGTTGCAATACCCAGTCTGCACATTTGTTCTACATGTTACTGTAATATGCTACTTATTTGTTACCATTATAGGGACGCGGGTGGCGCTGTGGGTTAAACCACAGAGCCTAGGACGTGCCGATCAGAAGGTCGGCGGTTCGTATCCCTGTGACGTGGTGAGCTCCCGTTGCTCGGTCCCTGTTCCTGCCAACCTAGCAGTTCGAAAGCATGTCAAGCTGCAAGTAGATAAATAGGTACCACTCCGGCGGGAAGGTAAACGGCGTTTCTGTGCACTGCTCTGGTTCGCCAGAAGCGGCTTAGTCATGCTGGCCACATGACCCGGAAGCTGTACGCTGGCTCCCTTGGCCAATAAAGCAAGATGAGACCTGCAAACCCAGAGTCGGTCACGACTGGACCTAATGGTCAGGGGTCCCTTTACCTTTACCTTGTTACCATTGCTGCTGCTACTAGTATTATTGAGGGCAGCTTTTCCCCAACCACTGTGGGAGGAGGGTACTGAACTAGATCACAGAACCATGGAATAGAGAGTTGGAAGGTACCCTGAGGATCATCTAGTCCAGCCCCCCTTGCAATGTAGGAACATGCAGCTGTCCCATATGGGGATCGAACCTGCAACCTTGGTGTTACCAGTGCCAAACTCTAACCAACTGAGCTACCCAAATCCTGATCAATGGCTACACTGGTGGGGGCTGGTTAGAGTTGCAGTTTAATATCATTTGTAAGACCACTAAATGCACCTTTGGTTGGATCCAGCAGCACTTTTTTCACATTGTTTCCCCATTAATGTCAGTGATGCATAGGGGTATTTTGAGCCGGAATAATGCCCCGTGTGGTTTAAATGGCAGAACCCGACCTTCATGCTGGCAAAGCAGGAGACGCCGTTTTCAGCTGAGTTTCATCCTACAAGCTTGAGAGCGGCGATGTCCAATTCCTTCTCCTCCCCCCCTCCGCGTCCACCTCCCCCCCCCCAGACCTTCCTGGCAATCTTCCTCACATATAGATCTGCTTTCTACAATAATATATTGTGTGCACAAAATAAACAGGAGAAGGAACATTGTGGAGATTATGCAAAATCCAACGGGGGCTGCAGGGACAAGCTGTTCTTTTGTTTGAACATAGTTGAGACAACAGTGGTAATTAAAATTTAATGCCCTGGATTTTCCTTTTCTATTAAGTCATGCTAATTTCATTTAAAAAGAGTTTTCCTGTGTAACCACCAAAGAGATCCTGATTACTCCAAGGGCAGGCTATGGGCGATTGGAATGACTTCTTGATAGATTAGCTTGCAAATTAAATATTATGATAACAGTAACATGCTGGAGGTGTAGAATGGCCTCAATAGCCAGTTTTCCTGTGCCAAGTCCTCTGTGGCCCTAGTTCAGTGGTAGCCAACATGGTGCCCTCCAGATATTTTGGGGCTCCCACCAGCCAGTAACAGTCAATGGTCAGGGATGATGAGATTTGAAGTCCAGCAACATCTGGAAGGAGCCACATTGGCGACGCCTGCCCCAGCTTGTTCCTAAGTGACGCGCATTTGAGTGTGGAGTGTAAATCATGTGAAAGAATAGGAAACATATGTCCTTGTTTCCACTCCTCTCCCTGATTTCTAATGCAAAGCTTTTTTCTTTTTCTCCCTTACATGGTGCGTTATTAACCATATCCATTACGCATATTATTTTACAGGCTGTTTTATTAGCAGTGCAGAAAGATTGCTGAGTCAGGTTTTCCTCTGTCCCGTGACTTCACGAATCATCCTGGATGAGCTGACGAAACGGCATGGAGAAAACAATTGTGGTTGTAAAAAGCTGTACAGTCACTGGCGAACATGGGGGTTAAAGGGAAGAAGAGAGCGTGTGCTCTTCTGTATAAGCTATAGGCAAAACATCTGGGAGTTTTCTCCAGTGTTCTGATGAGGACTAGAGAAACACGGGATCCTTGAAAGTTGCTCAGTGTTCTCTACACCTCACTGCCAGCAGCTATCCAGGGTTTCAGAGACAGGTCCGGAGGGTGGCAACACAAGAACAGGGCCTTTTCTGCAGTGGCTCCCCATTTGTGGAATGCTCTCCCCAGGAAGGTTCACCTGGCGCCTTCATTATATCTCTTTAGGCGCCAGGCAACAATGTTCCTTAACTATTTATTTGTGCTTTTATCTCGTGTTTTTATCTTGCGACCCTGAGGTCTTTTGATGAAAGGTGGTATACAGATCTAATAACTAAAGAACATCAATTTTCCCAGCCTGAACTGGAGAGGCTGGGAATCAAACCTGGGACTTTCTGCATGCAAAACTGATGCTCTACCACTGAGCTATGGGGTGGGCGTGTCTCTTGGCCTCCAGTGATGAAACCTAATCAGATGTTCAAGAGGTCACATGGGGCTGCAGAGCTGTGCATCTAGCCCTACTCCCTGCTAACACCTGTTTCCTCGCAGCTCCTCCTCTGCCTCTGCCCGCACAGGTCCTAAAGCACATGAACTTCCACGGTGGAGACCCATGTTAAGAACATCTGCAAGGTCGCCTTACCTGCCATCTGCCCACTTTTCTGCTTTGATCAGTGGAATTGGTGCTACTGCAGGTGCCACACAAAACCCTTACAAGCCACATTTGTAAGAACTCGATCCCTTAGTGTTGCAGCGCCTACACTTCGGAACTCCCTGCCTATTGAGGCCAATCAAGCACCTTTACTGTACTCTTTTTGGCATCTGCTAAAAACAATCTTTTCTTTACTTGGGAGAAAAGCAATGACAAAGCTAGACAGCATCTTAAAAAGCAGAGACATCACCTTGCCAACAAAGGTCCATCTAGTTAAAGCTATGGTTTTCCAGTAGTGATGTATGGAAGTGAGAGCTGGACCATAAAGAAGGCTGATCGCCGAAGAATTGATGTTTTTGAATTATGGTGTTGGAGGAGACTCTTGAGAGTCCCATGGACTGCAAGAAGATCAAACCTATCCATTCTGAAGGAAATCAGCCCTGAGTGCTCCCTGGAAGGACAGATTGTGAAGCTGAGGCTCCAATACTTTGGCCACCTCATGAGAAGAGAAGACTCCCTGGAAAAGACCCTGATGTTGGGAAAGATGGAGGGCACAAGGAGAAGGGGACGACAGAGGATGAGATGGTTGGACAGTGTTCTCGAAGTTACCAGCATGAGTTTGACCAAGCTGTGGGGGGCAGTGGAAGACAGGAGTGCCTGGTGTGCTCTGGTCCATGGGGTCACGAGGAGTCGGACATGACTAAACAACTAAACAACAAAAACAACTAAAACAATCTTGCTTAGACAAGCCTACCCAGGTGCTTAGAAAACTCTGGTAATTGTATCTGTTTTAGCATTTGTATGTTTAAAGTAGGGTTGTGATTTTTTCTCAGTTTTACTGTTTGTTCTTTTGTAAACTGATTTGAGGGTTTTTTGTTTTGGTTTTTTGTTTTGGTTTTTTGTTTTGCAACCAAACAGCATATAAATTTATTACATAAATAAAAGTGAAACATGTCCAAAGCATTGCCATTCTTAAGCAGCACTGAAACTCATCGAGTGCAAAATCAAATTTCAGCAGTCGAGATTCATTATGTGAATGGACAACTCTGAGCAGGTTGGCCTGTCTTCGCCAACATGCTTGGTGAACAGTTAATGAGATAGCATTTATCTGCCCCCCAACCCCACCCCACAAGGAGTAAACTGGCATCACTATCAAAAATCAATCAATCAGTCAATCAGTCAATCAGTCAATCAATCCTGCACCATCAAGCTTCTGTGCCGTGAGAGATTTTGCAGGACAGGGTTGGCTGTTCCACTTTTCCTGTAACACAGACCATAATATCTGGTCAGGTTCCCTGGAGGAAGCCTGCCTTTTCTTTGATTGACTTCAGAACAAACTTGTCACCAAGAAAGCCTGGACTGGCACTGCAAGGATATTGCCAGACCAGCTCAAAACTTCAGGATAATTGCTAAGGTTTGGCTTGATGGTCAAGGACAAAGCAATAATTTAGGGTAGTGGTAGTGGTGAGGTGGCCAGAGCAAATGGCAATGGCTTCTCAAGAAACTTCCTGCATGTCTACCTTGCAGCCACAGACTTATTCCAACTTGGCATCGACAGCATAATGCAAAACTGATGCTGAGTTATTCCTGGCAAATGAGTGCTTGTTATTTAGAGCACTTCTGTGTGACACTTTTGGAAAGTGTTTTGGAAGTGCATTAGATGCAGTTCTGGGATCCTCCAACACAAAAGATCGGAGGTAGAATCATAGAATCAAAGTGTTGGAAGAGACCACAAGGGCCATCGAGTCCAACCCCCTGCCAAGCAGGAAACACCATCAGAGCACTCCTGACATACGGTTGTCAAGCCTCTGCTTAAAGACCTCCAAAGAAGGAGACTCCACCACACTCCTTGGCAGCAAATTCCACTGTCGAACAGCTCTTACTGTCAGGAAGTTCTTCCTAATGTTTAGGTGGAATCTTCTTTCTTGTGGTTTGGATCCATTGCTCTGTGTCTGCTTCTCTGGAGCAGCAGAAAATTTCAACCTTTCTCCCTCCTCTATGTGACATCCTTTATATATTTGAACATGGCTATCATATCACCCCTTAACCTCCTCTTCTCCAGGCTAAACATGCCCAGCTCCCTTAGCCGTTCCTCATAAGGCATCGTTTCCAGGCCTTTGACCATTTTGGTTGCCCTCCTCTGGACACGTTCCAGTTTGTCAGTGTCCTTCTTGAACTGTGGTGCCCAGAACTGGACACAGTACTCCAGGTGAGGTCTGACCAGAGCAGAATACAGTGGCACTATTACTTCCCTTGATCTAAACACTATACTCCTATTGATGCAGCCCAGAATTGCATTGGCTTTTTTAGCTGCCGCGTCACACTGTTGGCTCATGTCAAGTTTGTGGTCAACCAAGACTCCTAGATCCTTTTCACATGTACTGCTCTCAAGCCAGGTGTCACCCATCTTGTATTTGTGCCTCTCATTTTTTTGCCCAAGTGCAATACTTTACATTTCTCCCTGTTAAAATTCATCTTGTTTGTTTTGGCCCAGTTCTCTAATCTGTCAAGGTCGTTTTGAAGTGTGATCCTGTCCTCTGGGGTGTTAGCCACCCCTCCCAGTTTGGTGTCATCTGCAAATTTGATCAGGATGCCCTTGAGTCCATCATCCAAGTCGTTGATAAAGGTGTTGAATAAAACCGGGCCCAAGACAGAACCCTGTGGCACCCCACTAGTCACTCTTCTCCAGGATGAAGAGGAACCATTGATGAGCACCCTTTGGGTTCGGTCAGTCAGCCAGTTACAAATCCACTGAGTGGTAGCATAATCAAGACCGCATTTTACCAGCTTCTTTACAAGAATATCATGGGGCACCTTGTCAAATGCCTTGCTGAAATCAAGGTAGGCTACATCCACTGCGTTCCCTTCATCTACCAGGCTTGTAATTCTGTCAAAAACGAGATCAGGTTAGTCTGACATGACTTATTTTTCAGAAATCCATGCTGACTATTGGTGATCACAGCATTCCTTTCTAGGTGCTCACAGACTGTTTGCTTAATGATCTGCTCCAGAATCTTCCCTGGTATTGATGTCAGACTGACTGGGCGGTAATTATTTGGGTCCTCTCTTTTCCCCTTTTTGAAAATAGGGACTACATTTGCCCTCCTCCAGTCTGCCGGGACTTCGCCTGTTCTCCAGGAATTCTCAAAGATGACTGCCCGTGGTTCTGAGATCACATCTGCCAGTTCTTTTAATACTCTTGGATGCAGTTCATCTGGCCCTGGAGACTTGAATACATCTAGACTAGCCAAGTATTCTTGTACTATCTCCTTAGTTATTCTGGGCTGTGTTTCCTTTGCTGAATCATTTGCTCCAAATTCTTCAGGTCGGTCATTGTTTCTTTTTTGGAGAAGACTGAGGCAAAGAAGGCATTGAGGAGTTCAGCCCTTTCTGTGTCCCCTGTTTGCATTTCACCATCTTCTCCTCTGAGTGACCCCACTGTTTCTTTGTTCTTCCTTTTGCTACGAACATACCCATAAAAGCCTTTTTGTTGCTTTTAACCTCTCTAGCAAGCCTGAGTTCATTCTGTGCTTTAGCTTTTCTGACTTTGTGTCTACACGTGCTGGCTATTTGTTTGAATTCCTCTTTGGTGGTTTCCCCTTTTCCATTTTTGTACACATCCTTTTTAAATCTTAACTCAGTTAAAAGTTCTTTAGATAGCCACCCTGGCTTCTTTAGGCACCTTCCATGTTTCCGTCTCATTGGTATTGCCTGAAGTTGTGCTTTTACTATCTCCCTCTTAACAAACTCCCAGCCATCATGAACTCCCTTTCCCTTTAGTATTACTTTCCATGGGATCTCACCCAGCACTTCCCTAAGTTTTATGAAGTCGGCTTTCTTAAAGTCAAGAAATTGAGTCCTAGTATGCTTGGCTGCTCCTTTCCGCTGTATAGTAAACTTCATTTTTTTTAAAATGATATTTATTGAAAAAAAATTTTTAAAAAAAATTACACACAAAAAAAGACAAGACAGAAAAAATAAAAAAAATAAAACCATCATTCTCAAATTCTCCACTTTCAATACCTTCTTTCTTTGACCTCCTCCTCCTCCCTTTTCTTGTATCCTGATTAATAATAATCGCAGCAAATCCTTTCCATAATTCATAGTATTCTGTCATTACATTACCTTAATCTATTTTCATCTTATCTTATAGAAAACCTTAAAGTTTAAAACTTAAATCTTATTTTTACCAACTTCTCCTAGCCATAACATTCTTACCAAATTCTTTAGACATTTTTACAAGAGCCAAGTAATTTCATTTCAACATTTTTCTAGCATTCATCAATTTTATAGAACAATCCTAATGATAAAAAAAAGAAATAAACAATCCAATCTTCATCCAGCGTCCCTTCCTCCTGGTCCCGGGTTTTGTCAGTCCTTTTTATCTTATTAATCTAGCACATTAACCTGGTAATCTTATATCCAAAGCCCTCAAATCTCTTCCATGTCCCTTCCGCAGCTCTTCTTCATATTTTCCTTTCATTCGTGGGAACTCCAGCTTGGTAATGTTTTTGACCCTTTTCAACAAATCAGCCCCTTTTCCATAGTCCAGACTAGACTCCATGTGGTATTTAAAAACATGTTTCAGATTCCCTCCAAGATTGAGAGCCCCCACAGCTCCAAACATCTGACGGCCCATTGCCAGACTCGAAAAGTCCAAATCTCCCTGTATAGGGGGGTCTGTCCAACCCCCCATTTCCAAACCAAACCAAACTTTATCTTTCCAAGTCTGGTTTTTTCCAAGTTCATTTATCAAATCCAAAAATTTATGTTCCTGCTGGGCCGCAGCTCCCTCCGTCTCTGGCGCCCAAGATTCAGCAGCATCCTCTTCTCTCAACTGTTCTGTCATGGCACACTCCTGTTTTAGCTCCTGGGTGGGCTCCATATAATTTCCCACTACCTGTTCAAAGGTTCTGGCCGCATTAGTCATCAAATCCGTCTTCTGGCTTAACTGATCCAATAGGGCATTTATTTTGCAGAGAGCACCCAACAGTGCTTCTGAAGACATTGTCCTGCAAGGTCACAAATCCTTTCCCACGGTTGTAATCTGTGACAGCTGCAAGCTCCCAGGAATTAGTTACAATTTCACAGTCCCCCTCTAGGGGGAAATCTTCTGGTTGTTCTTTCTTTTAAAAACAATAGTAACAAAGTTTCTTTTTTAAAGTATTTTGTCCATATTTGTTCTTTTTAAAATGCGAAAGGAAACAATGGAATCACTATGTTTCTCTTCTTTTAACTATCTGTCAAAGACATTTGTTTCTGGTCAATGAGCTTCAAACGTCAATTCTGACACCCCGCTCCAGGATCAGGACGGTGGAAAATTACTTTGTTTTAAACTCACTTCTGCAGGTTTAAACAGCCCAAGAAAGATCCCCCTTCTTCTCCTGCTGCCGAAGGGGGGTTCAGCGATTTTAAATGATGAAAGCCAATCCTTTGAAGGTGATTTTTAAAGCTCTAGTTTACGTTGTCTTTGCTTTATTCTGGCTACAAGGAAACGGAAGGCTGACTTCCTGTTTAGACCTTCCCATTTCAGTACCAAATTAAGGTAAATTTTAAAGTCCAAATTCCTTTCTATTTTGCCAGTTCTTATTTAAAGTCCAAATGTTCAATGTTCCAGTACTCACGGGTGGTTATTTTAGATGCCAAATTGTCCCAGGAAAAAGGCAGCGCTCTCCAGCAACGGCTATGCGGCTTCGCTCCGCAGAAAAAGCAATTGACTCACAGCACCGCGCCACTTCCCCCTCTTTGCTTCGGAGCCCGTTAGTGGGTTCCTTTGCTGTTTGGGGGGGTGCTAAGGGTGCCCGCCGAGTCCCAGGGTCACAGGCTTCATCCGCCTGTGATTTCCAGAAGGGTCCCCGCTTCGCCGTAGCGGAAAAGACCCGTTTCATGCGGAGCTGGTCCCTCCAGTTCAGAGGGAGTCCGCCATTGCCGATGGCGCCACCCCGGAAGTCCCCGCTGTATAGTAAACTTCAGAAGAGCATGATCACTCGCGCCTAATGATCCTTCCACTTCTACCCCACTAACCAGGTCATCAACATTGGTTAGGACCAGATCTAAAATGGCTGTTCCTCTTGTTGCTTCTCCCACTTTCTGGACAATGAAGTTGTCTGCAAGGCCAGTGAGGAATCTGTTTGACCTTATGCTCTTGGCTGAGTTTGACATCCAACAAATATCCAGGTAATTGAAGTCCCCCATTACTTCTATCTCCCTTCCTTTTGCATGCTTGGCCATCTGTTCCAGGAAGGCATCATCTATGTCCTCTGTTTGGCTTGGGGATCTATAGTAAACTCCCACAAAGGGACTTCCGGGTTGGCGCCACCGGCAATGGTGGAATTCCTCTCATCGGGAGGAATTTGCCTCGTGGAAATTCGGGTCTGGCCGCCACGGCGAAGGCGGAGACCCACTAAAAATCACAGGCGGGTGAAGCCTGTGAACGTGGGATTCAGCGGGCACCTTTTGCCCCTCCCCTACTCGTGGGGAAACTCGGTTTCGGGGATCCGGAGCGATGTGGGGTGAGTGGCGCGGTGCTTCAGATCGACTGCTTCTTCCACGGAGCGAAGCCGCATAGCTGTTGCCGGAGAGCGCTGACTTTTTCCTGCGGACAATTTGATCTTAAAGCAACTACCTGTGAGTAGAGTGAAGAATTGGATTTTTAAACGTCTTAATTTGGTACCGAAACGGGGAGGCTCAAAACAGGAAGTCCACCTCCCCTTTTTGTAAATAAGACTGAGGCAAAGAGGCTGCAAGCTAAAGTCTTGGAAAGCCTATTGTAAAGGACTAAATTCTTATCAGTAAAAATATTAAACCCCCCTTGGAAGCAGGAGAAGAGGGGGGAGGCTTTGGATTGTGTATCCCTGCAGGAGTGAGTGAGGAAGTTAAAATACCACCGTTCCGAACCTGGAAACGGGCTGCCAGTAAGACCGACGTGTCTTGGAAGGTTCATTGACAGCGAATAGAACGTTCGGTGACAGCTAGCATAAGAGAGATACATTGTTTCCATTGTCTTCGTCTGTACTTAAAAAGGAGTAAAAGTAACGGAAAATTGAAACAATCTTATTGAACTTTATTAAAAAAGGAGGAAAGTAACTGAAAATTGAAATTTGGATTATTGAAACTGTGTTTAAAAGAGGACATACTGACCGATACAAATACAACTCGCTTTCCCCTAGTGGAAGCTTTTGAAATTGGTTACTTGATAGGAGCTGGGCTAGGGGAATTTCCAGCTGCAAGATAAGAAAGTGTGAGACTTTGGAATTGACCTTGAATCTCTTAAGTGTTATGGCAAACGGAAAGGGAAAAAAAGACGGGCTGTCGACAGAGGAGGCCTTAGTGGCGGCATTATTTAAAATAAACGATTCGCTGGAACAACTCCACAAGAAAACAGATGCGATAAATGTGAAATTGGATGTTGCAAATATTGAAATCGATTCAACTTTAGAAAGTTTAAATAACTTGGGACAAAAGCTGAATACTAATTCAGAAACCACTCAGAAACTGACACAGGAATCTACTTCGATATGGCAAACTGCAGATGAAGTCAGGGGAAAAACCCTTGCTGCTGAATCTAAAGTAATACAACTGGAGAGGAGAGTCCCATCCATACAAAGACAACCTGACGAACATAAGTTGACATTCGTTATGATTGAACTTAAAGAAGAACGAATGAATTTGAGGACCAGAGCCCTATCCGGAGGCGATACTAACATTGGTTGAGAAAGAGAGGTATTTGGGGGTTAGTATGACTGCCAAAAATGTGAATCTGTTTAAGGATAACTGTGAAGGATGTTGGATTGAAGAGAAGGGGGATTTGGAAATATGGACAAATCAGAAGTTGTTACTGTTGGGCCGAGTTATTGTGGTGGGGATGAGGGCTGCTGTGTTGCTGGGGATGTTGCTTTTGGTTCAAACATTGCAAGCTTTGGATGGGATGGAAGGTCTCAGGAGGTGGCAGAGGGATGCTCCTAGAGTTGTTTGGCAGGGCAGGAAGCCTTGAGTAAAACTTAAGATATTGATGGATGCCAAAGAAGGAGGTGGACCTGCCCTGCCAGACCTTTAAACTTTGCTGTGAACCATCTGCTTTTTGCTGGTTGTGAGAATGGTTGCTTTTTGAAAACACTGAAGCGTTGGACAATGGCAGATGAAGATGATGGACTATATGGAATTGGCGGAAATGACTGGCAAGATCAGAGACCAGGGTGAAGAGTCAGTGGAAGAAGATTGGAAAAAGTTTAAAGACTATTTATAGAAATATTGTAAAATTAAGGAATGTTAGAAAAATGTTGGAATGAAATTATATGGCTTTAGCAGAAATGTCATAAGGAATTAGGTATAAATAGATTAATAGAAAATTAAAGGAAAAGTATGGCAAGAATGTGTTAAGATAATTATAGAACAGAAAACAGAGTAAGATGGAAAGGAATTGCTGAAACAAATAATAGAAGTGGAATACGAAAAGGGAGGTGGGAGGAGGTCGCTGGAAATAAGTGAATGAAATATAAGATATTGAAAATGTTTGAGGTGTTTTTAAACTGTTTTTGCTTGTTTTTGTTTGTTTTGTTAGTCCATGTAATGTTTTTGTATTGTATTTGCATTGTTTTTTCTTTTTTCTTTTTTTTTGTTTGAAGTGTTGTTTAAAAAGTAATAAATATCATTTTAAAAAAAATATAGTAAACTCCCACAATGAGGTCACTGTTATTCTTCTCTCTCTTAATTTTGACCCAAATGCTCTCACTTTGGCTTTGAGGTTCTAAATCTTGGATCTCTTCACAGGTATACACATCCCTGACATATAACGCCACTCCTTCTCCTTTCTTGTCTGGTCTGTTTCTCTGAAATAGATTGTATCCCTCCATTATTACATTCCAATCGTGGGACTTATCCCACCAGGTTTCAGTGATGCCTATTATGTCATATTTAGTTTGCTGTACCAAGAGCTCAAGCTCATCTTGTTTATTTCCCATGCTTTGCGCTTTAGTGTACAGACATTGAAGTCCCTTAATCATTCCCCGTGTCTCTTATTTAAGGATTTTTCCTCCCACCACTAGGTCTGCGTGCTGTTTGCTCCATTTGGTCTATGACATTTGGATGATCATCTTCATCAATTGATAGACTCCTACCTTCAGGAGCACTGTCTCCCTCCCCACATTAGTCAGTTTAAAGCCCTCCTGATCAGGTTTCTGAGATTTTTGGCAAAAACATTCCTCCCAACCGTTGTGAGGTGCAGCCCATCGCTTGCCAGAAGTCCATCTTCAAGAAACTGCAGTCCGTGATCTAAGAATCCAAACCGTTCCTGTTCACACCATTTGCGAAGCCAGCTGTTCACTTCCACTATTTTTCCCTCTCTCCCTGGGCCATGTCGTTCAACTGGGAGGACAGATGAGATTACAATCTGTGTATTTAATTGCTTCAATTTCTTGCCCAGAGCCTCGTAGTCTCTTTTGATCTTCTGGAGGCTATTGCTTGCAGTGTCATTGGTTCCCACATGAACCAAGAGGAAGGGGTATTTGTCAGTGGGTTTTATGATTCCTTGCAGTCGTTCAGTTACATCTTGGATCTTAGCCCCGGGAGACAGCACACTTCCCGAGACATCTTGTCAGGCCCACAGATCACTGCTTCTGTTCCCTCTGTAGGGAATCCCCTATCACCACTACACGCCTCCTCTTAGGTTTGGTCGGGGTTCTTCCGTGAGCTGTCCGTTCCAAGGTCGCCTGCACATTCCCTGAGGACTGACTTTGCTGCTCGTCTTCATATACCTGATCGACCGTAATGAGGGAGAGATCCTCAAATGGAGTCTGCTCTTCGTCTTCCATGCTAGGGGAGAGGACCTCAAAGCGATTGTGTATTTCTAAACAATCAGAGCGAACCCTGGGCCTCCTACTTCTTTGAGTCATGTTTCTCCATATATCTGGCTCCTGTGTTGGTGAACTAGCCTCCTTCTCAGGGGAGTCCCCTGTCTCCTCCTTGGTGGAGACGGTGTGCTCTGTTGCTTCCAAGAAGAGTTCCAGCTCTCTAATTCTTTGGAGCGTAGCTACACGTTCCTCCAGTTGCTGGACTTTGTCTTCTAAGAGGGCAATCAACATGCAATTGCTGCAGGTAAAGCTGCCTGCAACCTTTGGCAAGATGGCAAACATTGCGCAGGAACCGCAGGCGACTGCAGCTGTTCCCTCACCCTCCATCTTGAGAACATGTCGTTGGGGGTGGCTGATGGCTGTGTTGGTGGAGTGCTGATTTCCACTGGAGCCTACAAGCCCCTGGAGGTCCACAGCACAGAAGGCAATTGGTCCAGTGAGTCACGCCATGACCTCCAGTTGCAGCACTAATATGTGGACCCCGGCCGTGGTTTTGACATACAAACCCACATTTTCTTCTTTTTTAATTAGAAATGCATGGGATTAATGTGCAGAAAGTGGAATTAAGTAATTAGGCTTCTGGAGAACCCCTGCTTTCGTTTTTAAAAGAGGTAGTGGAATAGAATTCCTAGTAGTTACAGATGGGACTCCAGGACTAATATAGCTCTTTACTCCTCCCAGAACAGATTATACATATAGGACTTGCTTTTTTTTAAGGCATGTACATTAGACAAAATAAACGAAGTTATGCAGATTTATCCAATTTGCATACTTTATGTAGGTTGCTGAATTTAGCTTTGCTAGCTGCAGAATTTGGAGTTGGAGTTTTCTTTTATTTGAAAGATGAGAAATACACATAGCCTTGATCAGAGGGCATGGGAGCCAACTCCTTTGCCCCCCCCCCGGTAAAATATTTGAGGGAGCTGCCCCCCCCCCCAGTTGATGGGCATTGCCATTCAAATGTTGTGCATGCACCATGTTATGTGATCAATTATGTGAGGCAGGGCTTACCTGCCCCTCCCCAATATTTTATTCAAGTTGGCACCCCTGTCAACTGAGTGTATACGAGGAAATTTTCTCCCAGTATGTTCTATATGAAGGTATGTTAACATTCATGAACATTGGTACACTTAAGTATTCTTGTGACTCATGCAGTGAAATGTTTTCCACACCCCATTTTGCAGTCTCCTGGTTTAGGAATAAAAAGTGAGAACGTGAGGGCATGGGACTGATTTGCCTGCATCTCCGAGCTCAGAGCACTTGCCTGATAAGACACCCAGGTTGATCCCTTCATTTTCCAAGTTATTTTTGCCAAGGGACCATCAATCCCCTTTCACTCTGACAGCAGTGATCCCTTTTTCAGTGCATCATTAAGCATCTCCAGGAAGCAGACAGGTCTGACACTGATTAATTTCCCCTGCTGCCTTTGGAAGCCTGAAACAGACAAGTCCCCGGCAAGGCAGATGGCTGGGATAGTGTGTATCGAGTTTCTGTTCTCGTGCCGCGCTGTTAGCCCAGTGCTGAGAGTGGCTGACGTAGAATTACCCCGCTTTTGGAACTGTGACCAGGATCACAGTCT